TTACCGTATTTCCTGAAAATATACAGTATTTTCCACAATAATATTAGTAATCTTCATCCTCATACCTGACATAGGCAGATATAAGCCACAGCACCGTGTCCTTTGCTGATGATACCAGAATTGGCGTGACTGTATCATTCACTGAGGACAGTGCAAATCTTCCAGCAGACATTAACCAAGTCTTTAAATGGGCCTCAGAAAACAATACGAAGTTCAATGAAGACAAATTTCAACTACTCCGCTGTGGAAAACTCTGGGAAATAAAAACAGGATCGGAGTATTAAACAAATTCTAACCACACGAAATAGCGAAAACTAATGTGAAGGACCTGGGAGTGATAATGTCAGAGAATCTCACTGTCAAAGATCACAACAATGTCTCTACCACATCTGCTAGGAAAATGATATGATGGATAATGAGAACCTTCAAAACTGGGATGCCAAGTCAGTGACTATTCCCTTCAAATCGTTTGTTCTCTCTCTGCTGGAATACTGCTATGCACTAACAGCCCGTTTCAAGGGAGGCGAAATTGCAGACCTGGAGAATATACAGAGCACTTTCACTGTATGTATAGGTACAATAAAGCACCAAAATTACTGGGAACAGTTGAGATCCCTTGACCTGTCCTTGGAACGCAGGCAAGAAAGATACATGATAATACACACTTGGAAAATCTTAAAGACACAGTATCAACAACACAGCCACTTGATACTGGAGTTCCGCAGGGAAGTGTCCTTGGTCCCCTGCTCTTCCTCATATACATCAATGATCTTCCAAACGTATCTCAACACCTGAACCCCATTCTCTTTGCTGACGACACGACTTATGTCATCTCTCACCCTAATCTTGCCACCCTCAACACCATTGTTAATGAGGAGCTGATCAAAATATCGACTTGGATGACAGCCAATAAACTTACGCTTAACACTGACAAAACCTACTACATTATGTTTGGTTGCAGAGCAGATGCGCAAATTAACTTTAAGATCGACAACACTCTAATTGCCAGGCATAATGAGGGCAAATTCCTAGGCATATACCTCGACAACAACCTGAACTTCAGCACCCATATCCAACACATAACCAAAAAAGTATCCACAACGGTTGGGATCCTCTCCAAGATACGATACTACGTGCCGCAAACTGCCCTTCTCACACTATACCATTCACTTATATATCCATACCTCACCTATGCTATCTGTACTTGGGGTTCAACTGCAGCAACACACCTAAAGCCAATAATAACCCAACAAAAAGCCGCAGTAAGAATAATCACTAAATCCCATCCCTGGCAACACCCCCCCCCACTCTTCATAGATCTAAACTTACTCCCTGTTCAGTACATTCACACTTACTACTGTGCAATCTACATCTACAGGATCTTAAATTCCAATATTAACCTTGACCTAAAACGCTTTCTTGATAGCTGTGACAGAACCCACAGGCACAACACCAGACACAAACATCTCTATGACATTCCCCATGTCCGACTAAACCTTTACAAAAATTCAATGTATGTCAAAGACCCTAAAATCTGGAACACCCTACCTGAAAATTCTAAAACTGCAGACACATTCATCACCTTCAAAACTACCATCAGAAAACATCTTATCTCCCTGATACACCCTGTCAACTAATTATACGAATACCACCTGGTGGTTCACACTTACACTCACTCACCCATTTGACCATAAACAGAAATATCAATCTCAATCTCAAAATAATGAATCTTAACTAGTCATAAGTTGGCCTGTGATACTCCAATACTGAAACTATGTATAGTGCCAAAACAAAAGCATTCACATTGCTAAACTCACAAACTAGTATTTAGTCACTTAGCCATAATACCAACTTACCTCATAATTTTGTAATATTTTAAACTTAAGATTTAATCTAAGTCTGCCCGAAATGCCTAGCCATGCTAGGTGTTCTAGTGGTACACTCTGTAATTATTTTACTATATGTAAACCACACAATAACCAAATTCTGTAAACTCAGCATTGTAATCCTTATAGAGAATAAACTTTGAATTTGAAATTTGAATTGAAATCCCCCCTTTCCATGAAAAGCAGGAGCGACATGAGATACTTAGTGACAATCAAAATTAACATCAGGGACTCAAGATTGTTTAACTGCTTTCCAGCATACATAAGGGGGATTACTAATAGACCCCTGGCTTAGAGGGAGCTGGATGGGTACCTAAAGTCAGTACCTGACCAGCCGGGCTGTGGTTCGTATGTCAGCTTGCGTGCGGCCAGCAGTAACAGCCTGGTTGATCAGGCCCCGACCCACCGCGAGGCCTGGTCATGGACCGGGCCGCGGGGACGTTGAACCCCGGAACACCTTCCAAGTATACTAAGTAGTTACCTTACACCTGCTGCCCTCTTCACCTAGCAGTAAATTATGAACCAGCGTGTTAGTCGACTGGTGTGGGTTCTTTCTTTGTTGGGTTTATTAGGGCATAAACCGTAACTGGTGAGGATGGGACATCCTTGCTGACAAGATTCAAGGACCACAATGGCAATAAGATAGACCTGCCCATATTGCTCTGCATACAAGGGGCTTTTGGCATGTACACCCAACTACTATAATTCATTGTACAACTATGTAGCATGTCCAAATAAAACATATGAAAATATGATATAGACAGTCCTCGATGACTCACTAACTTTCTTGGATTATCCTGGGTGGCTAACCCTCTGGGTTAAAAATCCCAACAGATCTTACCTTTACATCCATGGGGTGCGCTAAACCTGTAGGAATCATACGGCGCTTAGGGAGGGGGTGGAGAGGAATGGGAGGCATTCAGGTTCAAATCCAAATTCAGAATTTATTTCCACATGATACATTTTGTGACACATGTGGATAACTCTTGATAATACATATAGGAATCCCATGGTTATGTAGAGTATTTCTGGTAAGCCTTTCAGTCCAAGAAAGTGAAAGACAGGTATAATTGTTTCAAGATAATAATATTCGTATGACTTACACCAATTTATAACATGAGAGATAAAGTTACTTAGCTGTTATAACTTTTAAGGTTATAACCATGTCCTAATAAAGTATTATTATTATTACTTCTACTGTAACTTAGCTAGAGAAAGTTCTCTCCGACCCTTGGAGTTAATGCAAAATGAAGCTCTCAGGGTTATTCTTGGCTGTCCCAGATCTACAAAAGTTCTTAACATGAGGAAGGAGCTTGGTATTTCTAGTATCAGTGATAGGATTGTTGAAATTAACACTGTACTCGGTATTAGAATGTTGAGAAACGAACCAGACACTGTCACAGTGAATCTTACCAAGTGTCTAGAGGTAAATACACACAGATCTAAATGGATTGTGAAAACGTGCAATTGCATTAAGTTTTATAACCTGCATGAACTGTATCACTGTAGGCAACAAGAGCATTTCACCCCTCCATGGAAGATGTGTTCATTTAATATCACATACCTACAAGTCCCTCCCAAGAAGCTCATTGCTAGTAATCCCTTCCTTAAATCTCTTGTTAGAGCAACTGCTCAAGACGAAATTTCTCACCTAGCTGGTAGTAACAAGTTATCACAAGTTATATACACTGATGGATCTAAACAGGAGTCTTCTGGCAGGGCTGCATCTGCTCTTGTTGCCACCTCCCTAGTTAAGAACGATAATAAATTTGTTGAGTTAGGCATAAGAATTAACAACTGGGCGTCTACACTGCAAACTGAATTGTTTGCAATCCTAATGGCACTAAAGCTAACCTATGACACTGAGCTTGACTCTATCATCATTACTGATTCTATGTCATCATTGAAGGCTCTTGGCTCATATAATGACTCCAACAACATGCTCATTGGGGAAGCCAGGTATAGATACTCAAAAATTAGGGACAAAGGAATTAATGTACAATTGCTATGGATCCCATCACACATTGGATTACTCCTTCATGATAAAGTTGATATGTTAGCCAAGAAGAGTATCGAGAAGGAGAATGTAGAATATAACTTTGGTATAACTGTGTCTAGCATTAGGAATAATATTAGGAGAGAAGTAAATAATGAAAATGATTGTTATAGGAATGCAGTTAGAAGCCTGAGTAGATCTATAACCCACTATGATAACATGAACGTAGATAAGTATGTTTATGGAGCAACTTGCAATGTGAACAGACTGACTGATGTTGTAGTGGCCAGGCTTAGGCTTGGTTACGAGTACTTCTGGCAGTTTGGGAGACACACAGATGATGATCAAACTAAATGTAAATTATGTGATCAGGCATATGGTCACTCTCTTGAACACTATGTGCTTAATTGTCCACTTATTGAGGAATACAGAGACAGACAGTATAATAACCTATGTGACATGTCAAGATATCTTATTAATGAAAATAAGATACCAGATATACTAAGCATTATTATTATAATCAAAAAGAAGCGCTAAGCCACAATATACTAAGCAAATTTCCTAAATTTGCTTGTAACAGATAAGTGAACTATAGATATGTAGATATAAATCCATATGTATTCCTGTTAACCCTTTGGGGCCTAGTTCCTAGGCCTTTTGTGTATCCATATGCTCTCGCGCTACCGTCCACAGGATGGATATGGGGTGCACAATAAACTAGCCACTTCGGTGGCAAAATCTAAAAATCTACTGTAACTTACTGCTAGGCCTTAATTAACAAGATATTTCAAAGGCCCCAAAGGAAATAAGTCACTGACTTTTTTTCGGGTTATTCTAGGTAATTTACACTATGTATGATAATTGTATTTATGTGTACCTATACCTAAATAAACTTAATTACGTATTGATGGCAAAGATACTGAAACCATAATATATATGGAAGAGGCTTCCAGAGATATGCAGGGGTTCAAGGTCAACCACAACCTGGTATCACCATGACAAAAAGTTAACCATTACAGTTACTAAATTAGGAGTTTCAAATATTTTATGGTAAGTTCTTATTTACATTTTACAGTTTTAATATTAGTAATGGCCTTGAAGGCACAGGGAACATATATTTAATACCTTATTAAAGTTTAACTTTGGATAGCCCAACAAAATCGGCAAGATTATTTATTAATGTTGGTGCAATTACCGAGTCATTTTCACTGGGGTCTTCAATTTCCATCTCATCATATTGTAGCTCCTTCCTCTATCACTACTATTACCCACATTACCAACAATTAGTTTATCAGAGGACACTGTGACAAGGCAACCATGTTTTACAAGGGTCACTTTAGTAAGTTTATTCAGGTGAACACAAATACAGTTACATAGATTATCATACATAACATTATACTATGTGTAAAGAACCTAGGATAACCCAAAAAAGTCAGACAGTGGCTTTATTTCCACTGGGGTCCTTGATGACTTTTTTGTTTATCCTAGGTAATTTACAAATGTTACTCTGTATGATAATTTGTGTAACTGTATTGTGTGTACCTGTACCTAAGTAAACTTAGTTTATTTAGGCGCAGGTACTCCTCCCCTCAAATAGCAATATAATTCCAGAGCTAAATTAATGCCTCATATTTTTTTTAAACAAAATTTTATTTTGACTTTATGAACAAATGGATTAAGAAAGGACGGGGTCTCTGCCCTGAGGTAGAACAATATGTATGGGTAAGTATTTTTATTATCATATTTATGGGGAAGCGCTAAACCTATATGGGTCATACAGCGCCTGAAGAATGAGAGGCTATCAGGTACAATCCAAGGAAGAGGAGGTGATCTGATTTCTTGGATCAAGAGCACATTTCCAGTATCAAGAAACTCCCTTTAGGGCAAATGGAGGCACCAGACCCAGTTCCTTGGATCAAGACTGCACTGAGGGGGAATGATGAGGAATAAAACTGATTAGTTTTAGAAGTAATTATTATTATAATAATAATGGGGGAACGCTAAACCCATAGGGGGTTGTACAGCGTCATGAGAGTGGTAGGCAATCAAGTTCGATCCATGGAAGGTATTGCAGTTCAAATTATTATAATCAGACTAAGTGCTCAACCCACAAGAGTGATACAGTGCTGGTTGTAATTCAGAAAAGGTGCGATTATTGACATACATACTTTATAGAAAATCCCTGGTTTTGCAGAGCATTGCAATGGTATATGGGCAAAGTATATACATATTGGCCTAGTTTAAGCAGAAGGATTAGAAGGTCTAATTTTCATTAATCACAGGGTTAGTAACCCAAGATAACTCAAGGAACTTACTCAGTGTTGCTTATTTCCACTGGGAACCTTTGATCCTTTTTCCCAGGATACAAACCAAAAAAAAAGTCCAAAAAAATACCCATACAGGTTTAGCTTTTTTTTTTTTTTTTTTTGAGAATATATTAAATATCCATCTGGGTTATTTAACAATATTTTCAGCTGATATTAAATAGATACACCAAATTGTCATATATTTTGATGGCATGTTTTGTAAAGATTTTTTTAAGGCATGATACTGGATATACAAGTGACATTTTATGATGACTTAACCTAGGGTATCCATGAAGAGGACTTTGAACTTGAGCTTCTTCAACAGACGCCTGAATTTTTTCTATATTTTCTTGAAAAATCTCAGGTTTCTATTTGTTTTTAATAAAAACACAAAATTTTAATAATTGCTTGGACATCCTGTAAAAATTCAAATTTTGTTACTAATACATGTACATGTAGTACTATACTATCCCATCAGGCACTGATGTATTCGCATAAAGTTTTCAAATACAGTGGTACCCCATGTTACAAACTTAATTCATTCCAGAAAGCTGTTCGAGTGGCGATACCGAACAAATTTGTTTCCATAAGAAATAATGTAAATTAGATTAGTCCGTTTCAGACCCCCAAAAATACACTTACATAATTGTACATGACTTCTTGAAAAATCCTTATATATTTTAATACTAATAATGTCTGCTTTTATAGAAATAAAGAAAAAGCAGGAAGGACAGGATCATTCAGCATTGAAATTATATAGAATTATTGTCTTTGTAACTGTAGCAAAGAAAATACTGAACTTTTTAGTTGTGAATTTCTTGAGTGATAACACATTTTAAGAGGCATTTCCTACATCAGTTTGTTAATTGTAGTTTTGGTCCGACTTGTTCAGAAATGTACCCTAATAATACTATGGTGAGGGTGACTTGATACATTACACTACTGTATTCTGTTTATAATAATGACAATTTGATTCACAAAATGCTGTTTATATAGCAACAGGCAAATTTGACATAATCGGTAAATTGATCTACTCAAATGCAGATGCTAGGTGCAGCTCAACCTGAATTGCCAGTTGTATTAAAAATCCAGCATCTCTTAATGGATTGTCCTGTTCATCACAGAGCACACAAAGTTGAGTTTATACACCAACATCCTGACATGCTTGTTTGTTCTGCACAACTTTCTAATTGTCCCACCTCTTTTGTGCCTGCCATTACCCTTAATGAATACAGTAGTCTAATATTATAATATACAAATCTAACAGTCCAAGTAATATAGGATTTACTTTCAGATGTGACTAATGGACTAATATGGCAGTTCCAAATAGTAACTTTCTGCAAGAGGGACATAGAGTCAAAAGTGGTAAATGTGGGTGGCAAGTGGTTGGCTTGTCAGGAGTAACTGGTGGTGGGAAGTCTACTCTGGCAGCCAAATTGCTTGCTTCCCTTCCAACCACTGTTGTGTATATGAGTCAAGATGAATATATACTTCCTGACCATTACCCCGTTCATCCGAAAGCTCCCGAACCTCTGACGGGCATTAATAAAGATACACTATCCAGTATTGACATGACAAAGATGATTGCTGACATTAAGCATATTCTGGCATCAGATGTAGCAGACATTAAGTTCACTGATTATAGCGAGATACACAAGAGGAGTAAAGTGATTGGGTCAGCTTTATGTGAACCAAGACCACCATTTAGAGGACACAAGGAGAATGTACATCTTCCATCATTACTTCTTCTAGATGGATTTTTGTTGTTTAATCACCCTGAGGTGCCGCAGTTCTGTGATCTCTTATACTTCATCACTCTCACAAAAGAGAAGTGTTTGGAGAGAAGGAAGAGGAGGGTGTTCACCCATGCTAGAATGAACACAAAAGAGTACTTTGATCTTTGCACCTGGCCTCAGTATGAACACCACTTTACTCAGATGTGCAATTCAATTAAGGGAATCCATTTTATTGATGGCTCTTCTCACCCCCAGATTATATATGAAGAGGCTTTTAAAGATATAATGCATATGTTAAATAATGCTAACTGTTGAACAGACATGTGATGACTCAATTACTACAGCTGTTCAAAAAATTATTTCATGTTAATGATATATTGAATAATTAAGAGAGAACACCCCCAAGGTTGGCTCTGCTCCTGCAACTATAATAGGTAATCACAAAACATTATTTCAGGTATTATTATGAGGTATTATTTCAGTCATACCTCATTCATGGTATGACTGAAATAATTCTGTAGAAAAGCAATGTTGAAGGTGCCCTTCTAACCTTCAGCACTGGAAAACTCTTCCCATCCAAGTTTTTGTCATTCTCACAATCTGATCTAGTGACATCTTGCACCTACCTTGGCACTATTATACCTCACCAGATTATTATTATTATTATTATTGCATATTCATTTTATGCACTACCCTTACCAGATGACTATAGTATATGTGTGTGTGGTTTGTAGGTTCCTCTGTGACTAGAAAAAGTTCATTTTCAAGTGAAACATTCACTCTGCTATTGGTGCCTTCTTGTTAGCACTTTATTTTTTAACCAATGTGATTGCTGCTGGTCCTTTGGAGGCATGACGAGAAACGACTGTAGGCATGTGATGGTATAGATAATTGTCTAACACAGATGTGAATGTAGTAGCTGTTGGCCCTATAGTGAGCTACAGCAGAGCAACCACTGCCTTATTGGCATCTCGGTGATTGTGTGTACAGGGTATCTCATCACCGCTGAGGCTGTTACTACTCTCCTTGTTGAGCTTCCTCCCAGCTCTCTCACTTGGTAATATGTAGATTTAGACCTAGGCCCTGAGGTATCTTCCATGCATATTTTCTGGTCTTTTTCTTTACTCCAGAAAGTACATTCCAAGCACTACTTTGAGGTATTCCCAGTAGCTTGAATGCTTTAGTGGCTCTATGCAGGCAGTAGACAATCTATGTACCTTTTCCATTATATTTATGGGGAAGTGCTAAACCTGTAGAAGTCATAAAGCACCTTGGAAATGGGAGGTACTCAGGTTCGATCCAAGGAAGGGGAGGTTAGGTCCAGTTCCTTGGATCAAGAGTGACTCACCAGCATTAAGGCACACCTCTCTTGAGGGGTGTACCTTCTCCTGCCTCGAATGGAGCAGACAATGAGAGAACACAAGTGATGTAGCCACTGGCATTTTCTCTTGTTTTAAAAGTTATCTATCCTGGCATTTGCCATATTGTATACTCTAAATGATAAATTACCCCCTAATCTTTCATGTGTTCCTTTCATATTAAGAGATTCTTTTGCATTGTATAGTCAATGCTCCTTTAGAGTTCTTTCCACATCTGAGCAGTTGGAATTTAGCACCAAACCCACATAAGTCAAACAGCACCTAGGAAATGTGAGGTAATAAAATTTGATAAAGGGAACAGGAGGGTAGCTATAGTTTCTTGAATCAAAAGCCCTTCACTAGCTCTGAAGATTCATATCGACGTCTCCTGAATACTGTTACCCATTGGCCTGCTATCCTTTGAGGTCCTCTACTTTCTCTTATTACTGAATTTATATTAAAACAATTGGTTATGTACTCTATAATTTATTGGCTTACATTAATATGGTAGATAAAACTGTTGAGAGGTAGTCTTGAATAACTAATAATAATTTTTATTTATTGGATGCCTTGTTTACAGTTAAGTTGCCTTCATGAAGCGACCTCTAAATATTAACATTCATTATTATTATACAAGTGTCTCATTAATGACTCTAGAGCTGTCATAGTTTTATTATTATAATCAAGGGGGAAGCGCTAAACCCGGAGGATTATACAGCTGTCATAGTTATAACCGTCTTCAGGTTCAACTGCTAATGATATTTGGCCATAGGCTTCATGTACCTGTATATCATAGGCTAGCAATATTCACAGGTCATCCTCAGAAAGTTATAATTAATCTTAACAACATGAGCCTAATAGCTCAATTACAGACTTTGGTATAAAAGTTTTATATAAGCACAGTATCAATAAAATTAAACAATTACAGTATTTATTATAACCTCTATGGAATTTCAAACATACAACAAAAATAGTTATTTATCGTATCAAAGGCATGTTGGATGCAACTCTGTACGTGGCTGGAGAGCACTCTAACCACAGCAAAGAATTGGTTATCTTGCTCGTCCTCGGCCACGGGTGAAATTTGTACGTGATGACATTCCTCCTCTACCTCGTCCACCTGGGCCTCCCTTTGCTTTTGGAGGAGGAGACTTGGGTCGCAAAGCCTCGATACGCTCAGTGCAGCCGGTTGTAATCTGGCCGTTCGTAAAGTAGCCAGCATAAACATCAGGGTCAAAGTTGCTGCTGGTGAGGCCTGGTCCCAGGGTGAGCCAGCCAGGACGAATGGTGCTATCGCGGCCAAACACGTGCAACCTACCAAATAAAATTGCTTGTGTAAATGCTTTAATTTCTTTTTATTAACTGGCTGTTTCCCAACAAGGTAGGGTGGCCCGAAAAAGAAAAACTTTCACTCCATCACTGTCTTGCCAGAGGCACACTTACACTTCACTTATAAAACTGCAATATTAACACCCTGAGTGCAAGCACTGTACTTTCTATCTCCAGAACTCAAGTCCGGCCTGCCCGAGTCCCTTCATATTACCCTGCTCACACTCCAACAGCATGTCAAGTCCTAAAAACCATTCGCCCTATCTAACACCCTTGCTGGAAGTCCAAGCCCCTTGCACACAAAGCTTCCGCTGACCTCTACCCCGCCTTCCCTCCCCAACAGATTTATATACTCTCTAAGTCATTCTATTCTGTTCCATCCTCTCTACATGTCTGACCACTCAAGGGAGGTTCCTTGATGCTGGTGAGGGGCTTTTGATCTAGGAAATTGGATCTGTGCTCTGGTTCCCTGAATTAAATACCTTCCATCCCCCACATGCCCTGTATAATCCTACGGGTTTAGCGCTCCCCCATAATAATGATAATCTACATGTCAGCACTACCTCAACAACCCCTCCTCAGCCCTCTGGGTAATCCTGCACCTCTTAATTTCCAAACTATGAATTCTCTTTATTATATTCACACCACACATTGCCCTCAGACACGCCTCCAGCCTTCTCCTTGTCACAACAGTCACCACCCCTGGGCTCTGGTGGCCTGGTGGTTAACGCTCTCGCTTCACACGGCGAGGGCCTGGGTTCGATTCCCAGCCAGAGTAGAAACATTGGACGTGTTTCTTTCAGCCTGTTGTCTATGTTCCCCATCAGTAAAATGGGTACCTGGGTGTTAGTCGACTGGTGTGGGTCGCATTCTGGGACACTGACCTAAGGAGGCCTGGTCACAGACCGGGCCGCGGGGGCGTTGACCCCCGGAACTCTCTCCAGGTAAACCCCATGCTTTGCACCCATATCACCTCTTCAAGGGGGGCTCCTTGGCGTGGTGAAGAGGCTATTGGTCTGAGGAATTAGACCTGTCAGTCTCCTTCCTCAGACCGAACCTAATTACCCCCCAATCCCCCCTTCCCTTTTTCCTTTCCTCCTCCTCCTCCCCACCCCTCCCTTTTGCACTTCCTTTTTGGCCTTTGGGATTTTTTCCCACAGGCACGCTAGTTCCTAGGTAGGGAAAAGGGTACTGGGGTCCATCCCATTCCGTTGAGGTTCTTGGCGGTGGCGTAGTTTGCCGTGGAATCTGGATTGCCTGGGGATGTCCCGATCCCTCTCCTGTATCCCGGAGGGTGGCTTTGGGTGTCTTTCGGGTGACAGGTGTATCTCTGGAAGCCACCTTTCGGATTCCGGGGGTGGTGGCCGAAGGAGGTATGCTTTGTGGCGGATATCCGGCCGCCTTCTCTTTTGTCCACCGAGGTAGCTCGGCAGATGTGAGGTTGCTATCCTGGATTGCTGGTTTACTGGCATGATGGGTAGGGTATGGCATGGGTTCCATGCTGCATCTGCGCTACTTGTGGTGCTAAGGTCCTCTTGGGCGCGGAGGGAGATTTCTGGCCTTTTCATTCCTCCTAGGAACTATCCCTCCCCGGTTCCCCTTTTCTTATTCTTTTTTTTATTTTTATTTTCTTTTCTTTCTTTTTTTCTTAAAAACAAAAAGAAAGAAGTAACCTAACCATGGAAGCCCTAGTCCATGAACCTACTACCCTCGGGCCCCTTCTTGATACCGCACCACGTTCTGACCCCGCCTTGTCTTTGGACCACTCTTCGGACACTCCTAATGCCTCTGTACCTCTTGCCGGTGCTGTTTCCTCACCTGCTTCAGGTACTGAGGTCTCGACTGACTCCTTCGATTTATCTGACCTCCGTTCTCCTTTGACTATGCTTCCGGCCTCTCCCTCTACGGTGCGGCAATTTTCGAATCGCTGGCCCGTTCCACGTCGGACCAACTCTGGTCCCACGCCTAAACGCCAACGACAATTACCTGCTGATGATACTTCTCCACCTTCTCGTTCTTCTCAAAAAAGATAGACACGTCCTGCACTCCCTTTCCACGCTCAGTTTCAGAATGCGCAATGGACTAAATTCTTCACTTTACGACCAACTTCCTCTACTGCCTATCTTTTCGACCATAGTATTGGCAAGGCACTCCTATGCCATGTTGGTAAAGATATTTCTTTTCATGCTCTTAAGAGCGGTAGGCGCATCATCACTGTACAGAATGCTACCCAAGCTCATGATCTTTCTCTTCTTTCCCATATCGATACTGTTCCTGTCACTATTGAAAAACATCATTCCCTCAATTCTTGTAGTGGTACCATCATTCTGCCCCATACCATAGTTCAACAAAATTTCCAGACATGTGGCAATGACATTCTTGAACAGCTTTAACTCCAAGATCTCCCAATCCTCAAGGTAGACACTTATGTTCTTCCTGCCCACGGGCGGAGACGATACCCTAGCAATGTGGCTCGTTTAACTTTTGACAGCCGTGAACTCCCATCCTCAGTTTATGTAGCAGGACATTGGTTACAAGTTCGAAAGGTGATCCCTACACCGCAACAGTGTAGAAATTGCTGGCGATTTGTCCATCCAGCGAAATATTGCAGATCTATAGCCGAATGCCCAGTCTGTGGTGCCGATGACCATTTTAATATGTCTTGCAATCGACCTCCCTCTTGCCTTAATTGTCATGAGGCTCACCCTTCATACTCTCGCCATTGCCAAGTCTACTTAAATGAGCAGGAAATCCGTTACCTCAAAGAGGCAGACGGTCTCACTTATGCCATGGCAGTTTCTCATCTCCGCCTCCAAGGGAGACTTCCTCGTGTTTCTTATTCCCGTGTTTCAAAACGTCCCCCCACTTCTGAGGTCCCATCTTCTGCAGCCTCCTCTGTGGTTACCTCTCCCATAGTCACTCCTGTATCTAATTCTTTGCTGTCCTGGGCTCAAACGTCCCTACTTCAACGCCTCAGTCTGTTCTCGCTTCTTCGTGTTCTCCCTCACAAGCCTCGGTATCGACGAGATTTCGTACGACACCTCCTCCCAATCGTCCCTCTACTTCTCAGAAGTCAAAAAAAGGTCCTTTAACCCCTCCTTCCCTTCTTCCACCTCCTCATTTTACCTTCCGTCTCTGTACCTGGTTCTTCCCCTCTCACTGGCTCTGTTACAAGTGTAGAGGTTCACCCTCCTCCTTGTACTGTACCTTCCTCCCCTGTTCCCTCCCAAGTTTCTTCCTCTTCTGCCACCTCCCAGGTTTCTGCCTCTTCTGTCCCCTTCCACGCTTCTTCTCCAGTTCCCTCCAACCTTTTGCCCCCCCCCTACCTTGGTACAGCCCATTACAGTTCCAATCTTTACTCATCCTCCCCCTACCATCTCCAGTATTGTCTCCCATATGACGTCTCTGAATTCCGAAACACTTGAAGCAATCTCTGAATATATTGCAGAGACCAAATCATCAATGGACACTGATCCACCCTCTGTTCCTTCTCTCTCCTCTCCTCCATCTGCGCAACTCCTTTCTTCGCAGCGCACCGTTCCTTCGCTGCTTGAAAGTTTTCCGCTGCCTCTGCATGTGGACTTTTCTAACCCCTCTAGTCCTTAGGAACCCTTACCTGCGGATTTCAGGTATCTTTATCGTTGCCAATCGGCCTCAGGGGTAATCGGGGTGAGCTTCAGATGTTACTCTCCCAGTTTTTCCCTGTTGGTGTTTGCTTACAGGAACCAAAATTACACTCTGCTGCTATCTATCCCATCTCAGGCTATAATTTATTGTATTCTTCAGATCCTTTTCCTGATGGGACCTTTAATGAAAGTGCCCTTCTTCTACGCACTGATATTCTGTACCATCAGCTATTTGTTCATACTTCGCTGCATTACACAGCAACCCGTAGCCACTTGAATAGGTGGTATACGCTCTGTTCTTTATATCTCTCTCCTTTTCGGGCATTATCTATTCCGGATATTACCTTTCTTGTTTCGTCATTACCGCCACTGCTTCTGTTACTTGGCGGTTTTAATGCCCATCATTTCCTCTGGGGGGGTTTCACTGTGATTCCCGTGGCATTCAGTTAGAGGCTTTTCTTGCTACCCACCCCCTCCATGTTTTAAATACAGGTACTCACACCCATTTTGATCCTTGGACTCACACTCTCTCTTGCATCGATCTCTCAGTCTGCTCTTCCTCCGCCGCATTAGACTTCACCTGGTCTGTTCTCCCAGATTTACATGACAGCGATCATTTCCCAATCATTCTTACTTCCCCTTCATATTCACCACCTCTTCGTATCCCACGCTGGCAATTTGATCAGGCAAATTGGAACCTTTACTCACAACTAACTGTTTTTAGTGAGGTTCCTTCTTCGTCCTCCATTGATGAGCTTTTACACCTCTTCTCGTCCTCCGTTTTAACCGCAGCTTCTCATTCTATACCCTAAACTTCGGGCAGGCATTCTCAGAAATGCGTGCCTTGGTGGTCTCCTGCTTGTGCTCGTACAGTACGTTTGAAAGGCGCTGCGTAGGGCAGGTACCGGCACAATAGAACCACAGAGAGACTTCTTGATTTTAAGCAGAAGCGTGCGATTGCTCGCCGTGT